CCAGCCCACCTAGTCTATATAGCAAGCCCCAGGTCAGCCAGGGCTGTGCAGGGAGGCCCTGTGTCACTGTTGTGCAGGCAGGCATGCGTGAGAGTTCTCTCCTGTAGGACCTCTAGTGTCTGAATGCCAGTAGATGTGTAGCATTTACACGAATGTAATAGTTTATGAAAGTTAAAATAACATTAGCTGGAAACAGACCAGGCGTTAGAAATGGAGTCCTGAGTTTGAGCGTCACTTGTAAAAGCCCATGATAGTACACAGTAACCTATTGTTGGGCCTGTCCTTCTGTTCAGAGAGACACCTATAGAAAGGGGCAGAGGGCTGTCTAGACTTGTTTTATAGATAATACTGGTATTTTCCAATTGCTTACAGTTTAAAGTGACACATTTGTTATCTTTATTTTTACATTTATTTGTGTGTGTGTGTGTGTGTGTGTGTGTGCGCGCACGTGTGTGCATGTACGTGCCATGCTGTGCATGTAGAGGTCAGAAGATAACCTGAGAGGTTGGTTCTCCCCTTCCATCATCGGAGCCCTGGGATTGAACTTAGGTAGTCAGGCTTCGCAGCAAGTGCTCTTACCTACTGAGCCCTCTCAACAGGCCCCTTGCTCTTTTCTTTTAATCCAAATTAGTGGGATTTAAAAATAGTGTACTTAGCCGGGCGTGGTAGCGCATGCCTTTAATACCAGAGGCAGAGGCAGGTGGATCTTTGTGTGTTGAGGCCAGCATGATCTACAGCGTGAGTTCCAGGACAGCCAAAGATACACAGAGAAACCCTATCTTAAAAAAAAAAAAAATCGTAGTTTATTTATTTATCTTTTTAAATAGTGTGTTTTATTGTGGTATGTTTCAATCTGTGAAAGTCTTTCTTTAAAAAGTTACTTTGTGTGTGTGTGTGTGTGTGTGTGTGTGTGTGTGTAGGCATGTGTGCCATGATATGCATGTGGAAGTCAGAGGACAACTTTTGGGAGTGAGCTCTCTCCTTCCATACATATTTGTCCCACAGATCCATCTCAGGTCCTCGGGCTTGGTGGTGGGCATCTTTCTTACTCAGCCATCTGCCTGGCCCAAAAGCCTTTCTTGAAACATTTTGAAGCAGACAAGCAAAATTACACCTGCCAAGAGCTTAGGAAAGCTGTGCTCCAGGTTTGTGCCCTCCACGTGGGAAGAAGTGCAGAGCAGCTGTGGCTGGTTGATGTCTTAGGTAGGGTTTCTATTGCTGTGAAGACACCGTGATCACAGCAACTTTTGTAAAGGAAAACATTTAGTTAGGTTGGCTCGCTTACAGCTCAGAGGTGTTGTGGGATAATCTTTTTGTATACTGTGAAGATGTGTCTCTGCCAAGGCACTTTTTGAATGGTTTAATAAAGAGCTGAATGGCCAGTAGCTGGGCAGGAAAGGATAGGCGGTACTTCTGGGCAGAGATAGGAACTCTGGGAAGAAGAGAGGCAGAATTTGCTAGTGAGATGTGGAATAAGTTGGATGTACAGTATGGAGGAGAGTCATTGAGCTGCATGGCAGAACATAGATTAATATAAATGATTTAATTTAAGTTTTTAGAGCTGACTGGGTACAAACCTAAGCTAAGGCTAAGCCTTCATAATTAATAAGAATCTCCATTTGGGAGCTGGCAGTCCAAAGAAAGACCCGTTCCACAGAACTTCAGTCCATGACCATCACGGTGGGACATGGAGGTGTGCAGGCAGACATGGTGCTGGAGAAGTAGCTGAGAGCCCTACATCTTACAGGCAATAGGAAGTAGTCTGACTTACTGGGCGGAGTATCCTGAGCATAGGAAACCACAAAGCCCACCCTCACAGTGACACACTTCCTCTAACAAGGCCATACCCACTCCAACAAAGTCACACCTTCTAGTAGTACCACTCCCCAGGACATTATGGGGGCCAGTTATGTTCAGACTACCCCAGTTGGTGAGGGTGCCACTGTAATCAAAGTTGTTTATCCTTGGCCGAAACTTGGGAAGCTTTCCTAAAGCTTCAGGGAACGTTAGTGAATCTGACCCGAACCACTAACGTCTATCGAAACTGCCAGGTTGACACACTCCTTTGCCATAAGGGACTTATTTGTAAATGGTGTTGCTGATCAGAGTGCTTTCAAAGCGTGTATGAGACGGAAACTCATGCAGCCGGGTCAGCTCCTGGATGCCATCAGTTCAGCCCCTAAAGGTCTGTGTGGCAGAGCCCAGGGAAAAGCTGGCAAATGCCTCCTAGGATTCTGTCAGGTCTGAAATTTCTCCTTTGGTCTCCTTGCACAGAGGGAGGGATTGTGGGCAAAGAGAAAGGTCATTGGTTCTTTCTCTCCTGGAAGCTTTGGAGGACTTCCCAGGCACACCCTACACACAGAAAGCTGTTGTTAGAGGCACAGATGTTGTGAAGATAAGATTTCTAAGTTGCAAAATGGGCCTTTGGTCCTGAAGATTTCCTCAGGTGACGCCCTGAGCTAAAGGGAAGGCAGGGCACACCATTTGTTTACAGACACTTGATACGTGGTGAGTGCTATTGCTTTTTCTTTATCTAGCACTCAACAGCTGCTCACCAGCCAAATGAAAGATTAGAGTCTGTGCTACCAAAAGAATACACTTGATCCCTCCAATAAAGTCTTCTCTGTGAAGCGTTAATCTAGTCCCTTGGCAAGGAGTGTGGTTGTGCATTGGAGAAGTTAGGAATTTCCTAGGACCACAGTCGAGGTTTTCCAAGTCTGAGAAAACACAGCATTTAAGATAAACCACATTGGCATCTGACCGGCTCTAGTCTGCTGACTGGTTCACAAAACTGTTGTGTGTTTTTAGGCATTTATAATAAACTTACTAATAAGCAGTATGAGATGCTTAACTTCACCTGTCTGTTTTGTGTGACCAATGATTGTTGTATTTTCACCCAATTTATGTTTTGTTTTTCATGACAGGGTTTCTCTGTCTCTGTAGACCAGGCTGGCCTCGTCCTCACAAAGATCCACCTTTCTCTGCCTCCCGAGTGCTGGGATTAAAGGTTTATGTTTTTATAATTTGGCCATTATACCTATACTCTTCTTTCCCTTTTGTACTGGATTCAAAACTTAAAATTTTTCTCTTTTAGATTTTTAAATTTTATGTAGATTTGTGTTTTGCCTTCATGTGTATATGTCTGGGCACCGTGTGTGTATAGTGCCCTCAGAGGTCAGAAGAGGGGAGCTGAGCCCCTGAAACTGGAGCTCCTGATGGTTATGAGCTGCCATGAAGGTTCTGGGAACCAAGCCTGGGGAAGGAATCCTAAGCCATCTCCACAGCCCTAGGGAACCTTTCTAATGTGTGGCTATCCTCTTCTTTATCTTCCTTTTCTAAGTTGCTCTTAAATATAAAAATTATAATTGTGGTCATTTTTAACTATTAATGGTTACTTGATGATGTACTCCTTTGAAAATGTAAGGGTGTGTTTCCTGGAACCTCTCAGGACCACACTCGGAGGTTGCTGAGATCACTCACGCTACTTGAGTTCCTGCTGCTCAGGGTTTCTTGGCTTTTTTTTTTTAATTTATTTTTATTTTTTAGCATTCATTTGTATGTGTATACATATTCATTGTGTGTGTGTGTGTGTGTGTGTGTGTGTGTGTGTGTGTGTCTGTCTGTCTGGAGGCCCAGAGTTGGTATCAGGTGTCTCCCTTGATCCCTCTGCACTCTACTTATTAAGACAGGGTCTCTCATTTCTTCGCTGAACACAGAGTTTGCTCGTCTAGCCAGTTTGCCCCAGGGATCCCGCCTCTGCTTCCCGGGTGCTGGAATTAAAGTTGTCTGCCATCTCCCCATCTTTTATGTGGGTTCTGGGGATCCAAACTCTGGCCTTCACAGTTGTCTAACTAGCACGTTATCCCTGGAATCATCCTCTTCGCCCCCGGTTTTCTGATGTTTTGTATAAGGAAGTCTGGTACCTTCTACCCACTAAAAGCTAGATGAGCACTAATTATAACAGTCGCGGTGGTAAGAACTCACGGGATTCAACACTTCAGTGCTGACACCTGTGTTTTCTTCACAGGCGTTTGTCCCCTCCAGTGGGTTGCGTGTCAGTCTCTAGTGTGGGGGTCAAAGATCCCCACCAGTGATATCTTCAGTCCTTTGTATCTGTTAAGAATTGTGTGATTTGTGCCCACCCAGGAACACCACCCTGGTTAGAGTTACATGGTGAGATCCTGTAGAAAGAAAGAAAGAAAGAAAGAAAGAAAGAAAGAAAGAAAGAAAAAAGATGCAGAAGTTTTTCAATATCAGATGCTAATTCAAAACCTATTCACTTTGATATGTATTCAGATGCTTGCCTCATGCAAAGTGATGCGGGCAAAATATAAAAACAGAAAGTAATCTTATACCTTGTTTGCTGTGAGGAGCATGAGGAGCTGACGTCAGCTTTTACTGTTTCTGTTACATTGTTTTTATAAAACCATTTAATTTAAATTTAGTTTATAATTTAAAAAAAATCTACAACTTGCTTATCACAGTATATACCATATACATTTGGTTTTTTTCTCTCTATGTTTGTTACAAACATTTACAGGTATATTTCCTGCCTGAACTGGAGCATGCGGAATAATTTAATATATATATTTATTTCCACCAGAGAGGCATAGGTCAGGACATGATGGCGATTGGCTTAAGAGGGCACATTCTGTGGGAAATTGTCAGGAAAAGCTTCCCCAGAGCACTAGAGGTGGGATTTCCCGTGACCTTAGGCGACCTGTTCAGCTTCGGTGACTAGTTCAGTTCAGGCGTGCTAGATGCCAGTGCGCGTTTGAGCAGAGGTGCCAGTGAGGTGCGGGTTCACGCGGGCAGTAAGTGTGCAGTTTGAGTGTTAGATGGGTGTGTGGGAAGATAGCAGTGTGGAAGGGAGATGGCAGCATGCCAGAGACAGGGGAGTGGCAGTGTGACCGGGGAGGGTGGCAGTCAAGCTGGGTCAACTGCTAAGCACTAACCCAACTGATATCATTACTGACTTTTCATGGCTTTGTGTCTTTCAGGAGGTTCATGAGCTATTCCAAGACTACGAGCTAAAGTACTGCTATGTGGACAGGAATAAGCGAACAGGTGAGCGTTCTGTTCCAAGCACGTAATTTGTTTTGATTTCGCATGAAGCTACTATAGAGCAGGAAAGCTTGCTGTCTTTTGCTTACCTGTCTTCTTCTGATGCTGGGAATTGAACTTAAGGCCTTTGCGGGTGATGGCAAGCATCCAGCCGCTGGGCTCCATTTGTTGCCAGCTGTGGAGTTTCTAGTGTGAAATACTATGGGTGTGACTCACCGGCTTCTTCCTGAGGGCAATATTAATGTCCCGAACTTTAACCAGTAAACAAATACAGTGTAACTGCAGGTTTGATTTTAACAATGAACATTGAATGGTATGTGTTCTTCGGAGTGTGCTGTGGGTGCTTCCATCTGATAATGTTACCGGGTTCTGCAAACACACGGTGTGTAGCTTGACCTTCAGCTGGACAAATTAGGAAAACTTGCTTAGTTTTTCTGAGTACTAGTTTCATGTTTTTGAGATCAGAGCTCTGTTCTTGTATGGGCAATGATCTATAAATATTTGTGAACATTTTTTCGATGATAAAATACAGTACAGTTGATGGTAAGACCACTGTATACACGTGTATTCTAATGCAAATCATTTATCTAGAACTTGATGTGGAACACTTGCCTAGCTTGTGCAAGGAAATGGGCTTGATCCCAGCATTTCCCCCCAAAGTGTATAGCTTAATGTGTATTGCTGAATTGAAAACACCCCTTCTGCCCCTCAAAAACAAAAACAGCAGAAGACTCCCAGATACAGAGGAACCCCAGTTCCCAGCACCCTGACTGCATCTCCCCCTGGGGGAAACACATAGGAATCTGTTCCCAGTCTGTGGAATGTGGCATGATCATCCCTAGATTGTTGGGGGTTCTCTTGGGCACGAGACACTCTTTTGTTCTCCCTCCTAGGGGTCTTGAGAGGACAGATGTGTCTTTTCATAAATAAAAGGATAGTGGACATAACGTGTGTTCCTTCAGGTGAAGATTTCAGAGCCAGCATGTGGCTCCATGCCCTCAGACTAGAGTACTTGGTTCAGTGTGATTGGTCTCACAGCCCTTTCCACTTCCCCTTTGGAAACCCCACATATGTAACTCCCAGTTGAATGTCTTATTCCCCAATTGGAATATGAACTCAGTGCTGAATTACAGCGCTCTTCCAGTGCCTAGTCTGTAACTAGACATACTACTGAATAAATAAGGATTTCATTGCCCAGGGCAGGGATTCAGTGGCTTGGCGCTTCTAGGTATTTGAATTTGGGTCTCATGAGTATTCTACCAGGAAAGCCCCTGGAGATTGCTATCTTTCATTTGTGAGCAGAGGAAGATGTGGCAAAAGGAAAGTGCTCAGACAGGTGTGCAGACTCGGGCAAGAGTGCACAGGCAGGTGTGTAGACTCATTGCACAGACAGGTGTGCAGACTCGGGCAAGAGTGCACAGGCAGGTGTGTAGACTCATTGCACAGACAGGTGTGCAGACTCGGGCAAGTGTGCTCACACAGGTGTGCAGACTCGGGCAAGCGTGCTCACACAGGTGTGCAGACTCGGGCAAGCGTGCTCACACAGGTGTGCAGACTCGGGCAAGCGTGCTCACACAGGTGTGCAGACTCGGGCAAGCGTGCTCACACAGGTGTGCAGACTCGGGCAAGCGTGCTCACACAGGTGTGCAGACTCGGGCAAGCGTGCTCACACAGGTGTGCAGACTCGGGCAAGCGTGCTCACACAGGTGTGCAGACTCGGGCAAGCGTGCTCACACAGGTGTGCAGACTCGGGCAAGCGTGCTCACACAGGTGTGCAGACTCGGGCAAGCGTGCTCACGCAGGTGTGCAGACTCGGGCAAGCGTGCTCACACAGGTGTGCAGACTCATTGCACAGACAGGTGTGCAGACTCGGGCAAGCGTGCTCACACAGGTGTGCAGACTCGGGCAAGCGTGCTCACACAGGTGTGCAGACTCGGGCAAGCGTGCTCACACAGGTGTGTAGACTCGGGCAAGCGTGCTCACACAGGTGTGCAGAGTAGGGAAAGAGTGCGTAGGGAACATAAAGGGATGGTCAGAGACTTCAAGTCCCCGGCCCTCCAGCCTAAGCTCACAGTTTTATGGGCTGATAGAGAACATAGCCAGTATCTAACAAACCGGTGTTTGTGTGTTTTAGGGAAAAAGGGTTATATGATGCTCTAGGGCTGCCTGACTGGGCTGGGAAGGCCTAGAGCTATAAGGGGCGTGTCTATGGGGGAATATCTAGTTTAACTGAGGTAGCACATGACCAGGGGTCCTGGGCTGTACAAAAAGGAGAGAGTTAGCTGAACGCCAGCTTTTGTCTGCTTCCTGACCGAATGCCGTGTAACCAGCTGCCTCAGGTCCAGCCACCAGGACTTCCTCACCATGATGATCTATACCCCTAAACTGTGAGCCATGATAAATGTCCTTTCCTTAGGGTGCCTGCTGGCTGGCTTTATGTCTACTTGATCCACCTATAATCTTCTTAGAGGAGAGACCCTCTATTGAGAAAATGGCCTCCATAAGATTGGACTGTAGGCAAACCTGTAGGGCATTTTCTTAATTAGTGATTGAGGGTGGGCTCAGCCTTCTATGGGTGGTAGCACCCTACTCAGGTGGTCCTGGCTTCTACAGAGAAGCGGAGTGAGCAAGCCAGTAAGTGCTGCGGGAGCTACTTTTGCCCCATCAGCCAATAGCCTTTGAGATACCAGCCCACTGGGGTGTGGTGACTTTCGCTTTTAAAAAGTGGCGGCAGCCCTCTGCGCGCTCTCTCTTGCTTCGGATTGATTCCGCTTGCTTTTCCTGGTCATGCAGGAGGCTGTTGTCTAGGACGGTGATCTGTAAGTCTTTTCCCTTTAAATAAATAACTTTTTTATTAATCATAATTCCAAACTGTTGTGGGATTGTTTTGTGACTTACTTCATTAAGTAAGCAATATCCCTCCATTGCTTCTGCATCAGCTCCTGCCTTCAGGTCCTTCCCTGTTTTAGTTCCTGTCCTGACTTCCTACAGTGATGGACAACGGTATGGAAGTGTAATCCAAATAAACCCTTTCCTCTCCGTCTTTCTTTTGGTTGTGGGGTTTCACCATAGCAATAGCAACCCTACCTGAAACAGAAATTGGTACCAGGCTAGTAAGATACTGCTGTGACAGACCTGACCGTGTTGTTTGGGGGAGGATTATGAGAGGATCCTGGGATGTTGGGCTAGAAAAGCCATTGAGTGTTCAAAGCCTGGTGAGCAGTTCTGTGGGACTCTGGAAGATAAGGATGTTGAAAGCAGTGCAGAGGATGGAGGCCTGGCTTGCGATGTTCAAAAGGGAAGTTTAAAAATTACCTAAAGACTGTCAGGGTCGTGGCCTATTTGATCCTTTGAATTAAGGTTCTGTGGCTCTGGAAGCTGGGGCAGAAGAATCAGTGGCAATGAATGAGAGACTAGCGAGAGACTAGCCAAGCCTTTGCTTGGCTGAGACAATTGGTGCCTGTCGCCTGGGGCTGGGGAATTAGCCTTGATGAACGGAGAGACTCGCATCATTGAGGTGAAATCTTCCGTGAAGTGTTTACTGAGAGTCAACACACAAAACTTGTTTTCCACAGGCGACCAAGGTTGTGCCTAGGGCTGGCAGCCAGACTTGATAGTGGTGTAAGAGGCATCCTGGTGGTGCTGGTTTTGAAGGCATGAAGGGGTCATGGACAGCAGCTGAGGCTCGGTGCTGTGAGAGGGCATTGGCGAAGGTGCGGCCTCATTAGAGTTGAAGGCCCAGGACTGAGGGGGTCATCATGCAGAGAAGTTGAAGCTAGGTACCATGAAGAGACCCCTGGAGAGGCTGAAAAGTGCAGCCCAGTTGCAGCAAGGAACCCCAGGGTTTTGGAGATGCCAGTACCAGGGGACGGCCACCCAAGAACAGCAGAGGTGAAATGGAGCCTGCCTGACCTTAGAACTCAAGCTGAGTGCCGCAGGGGGCGGAGCCTCAGGGGTGGGGCCGCAGGGGGTGGAGCCTCAGGGGCGGGGCCACAGAAGTATAACAGAAGCCCTTGAAGGCGCCCAGAAGATCCCGAGTGAATCCCAGATAGTGAACCAGTTATTCACACTGTTGGAGTTTGGCTTTGCTTTGTTCAGATTGTGACCGTGCCCTTGTTCTAACCTCCTGAAGTAAGAAAGCACTTAATTTATTTTTGATTTTACAGGAGGCCCTAGGGAGTTGAGAGACTTCAAATTTTTAAAGAGATTTTGGTGTGCAGAGACTTTGGATTTTGAAAGAGACTGGCTATTTAAGAAACAACTTCTAAAGTGTTTGAATTTGTAAGGCTGTGGGACTTTTTAAGCACATAAAATGTTTTATACTGTGATTTTTTTTTTTATCTGCTTTGTTTTTGTTTTTGGAGACAGGGTTTCTCTGTGTAGCCCTAGTTGTCCTGGAACTTGCTCTGTAGACCAGTCTGACCTCAAACGCCTGCCTCTGCCTCCTGAGTGCTGGGATTAGCGATGCTCTGATGTCTTTATTAATGTGTGATCTTGATGAACAGGAAAGGAAAGGCTGTGGCTCAGCAATGATACGTTGGTGTGTCAAGTTGACAAGGGGTCAATTGTGCTGGATAGTTCATCAACCTTACACAAACTAGAGCCATCGGAGAGGAGGAAACCTCGGTTGAGAAAATGCCTCCATAAGCTCAGGCTGTAGGCAAACCTGTAGAGCATTTTCTTAATGATTGATAGGGAATGGGTGTTGCCATCCCTGGGCCTGGTGGTCCTGGGTTCTGTAAGAAAACAGTCTGAGCAAGCCAGTGTAAGCCGCACCCTCCATGGTCTCTGTCAGCTCCTACCTCCAGGTTCCTGTCCTGTTTTAGTTCCTGCCCTGACTTCTTTCATGGTGTTTCATTGTAACTCTAGTAACCCTAAGACAGGTGCACCTGTCATGTCATTGTGCCAATAAGAAAAGTAACTAGTAAAAAAAGAAACAACTCAAGCTTTTAAAAAAATTGTTTTGGAAACCAAGAGTTAATTCTTCTAAGGGCTGTTTCTGCTCTTCGCTTGGAAGAGTTAGCTGTTGTGTTGTCCTTGGCATTTGGAGAGCTTGCCCAATGAAAAACGCTTTGCTTTAAATGTTAACATCACTCTGTGTGGTAAAATGCTAACACTCCAAGAGCTGCCCCTGGGCATTAGGACCAACTGAAGGACAGAATTGCCCCGGCTGCGAGATTGCCCCCAGCCCCTGTGTCTTTGCTCTGAAGCACATACTACAGTGTTCTGTTTGAAGAGTCAAGTGTTTGCTCGTTGAGGAAGAGAAGACGAGGCCGTTCTAGAAAGCAGCTCTTTTATTTGTGCATTGCTCTGTGGGATTTTAATTGGAGGCTTTCGGGATTTCTTGCAAAAGTTCTTAAAAATATTTATATCCGTTAGTGATGACAGATAAATTATATAATTAAATTTTAATTTTAAAAACATAGACTTTGAGAGCTAGCAGGGGAAGCTCAGCTGCTTGTATACCCTGCTTGTATACCCTCGACCGGAGACCAGTACTCCCCTATTAGGGGAAGGTTGTCCTCTTTGACCAAGTGCACAGCTTCAGGAGGGACACATGGAACAGTGAGGGAGGAAGAAGACACCCTCCTAGCCAGCCAGATCAGCCGAATCAACCCTGGCCATCAGTGGGATGATCACCTTCCCACCCTCATTTTAACAAACCAGAACCTGTGGAGTTCATTGATTTGCAGCTCACAGGTGTTATGCTTGTTTCTTTGTTTGAGGCAAGGTCTCTCTGTTGGAACTATGTAGCCCAGGATTGCCCTGAATTTATGGTCCTCCTGTCTCTGTCTCACATGTGCTGAGATTCTAGGTGTGTGTCACCAGCCAGGCTATGTCCTGTCTTTTATTTCATACATTTTATTATTTGATGCTGAAATAGCTTAGGTAGCTTTTAAAATGGTTTTTATTGGGATTGTAGGTTAAAATATTTGCCCAAGATCAAAATCATGTTATCCTTTCATTTGATTTTATTTGTCAAAGTCCTATATGAAGTTATATACACTCATGGGTGTTGTGGAGTATTATTTTATCTGGGCCAAGATGTGTTACAGTTGTTTATGCTGCGGAATATTTTAATTGTGTAAAGGTGTGTTACATTTGTTTCACAATGTAAGGATGTGTGTTTAATTATGTAAATATGTGTTGCATTATTTTCATCTTGCCTGACTAAGGCACCTGATTGGTCTAATAAAGAGATGAATGGCCAATAGCTAGGCAGAAAAAGGATAGGCGGGGCCGGCAGGCAAAGTAGGGGAGGAGAAAGAGAAGAGAATGAGGGGCCAGAAGCCATGCAACTGCCAGCCAGACAGGAGAAGCAGTGAAAGTAAGATCTCCAGAAGGAAAGAAAAGTAAAAAACCTCGAGACAAAGGGTAGATAAAGAGAAGCAGATTAATTTAAGTTAAAAGAGATAGCCAGAAATGAGTCTAAGATAGGCCGAGCATCATAACTAATAAGTCTCTGAGTCATGATTTGGGAGCTGGTTGGTGGCCTGAAAGAAAATCGTGGTACACATAGGTTCTTTGAAGCTAGCCAGTCTGATGTTTTATCATCTGTTTAAAAATGACACTGCGTGTGTGCATGCGTGTGTGTGTGCATGCGTGTGTGTGTGTGTACGCATGCGCGCGTACACGCAGACGCACATGTGAGCTGAGGACATCTGTGGCAGTTGGTTCTCTTCTGTCATTGGGGGCTGAGAGTGAGCTCATTCCAAGCCGCTCACTGTCTTCATGATTTTAGTGCTCTGAGAAGGATGTGGGAAAACCTGGTTTCCTTCAGGCATTTTGGCATCTTTTACTGTACTTTCAGTTTTTCAGGTCCTTCCTATTAGCTCTTTCTGGGGAAGAGGCCTCATTTTCAATTGAGGGATTTTATAAAGGCTTCATAAAACTTTGCGTTGTTGTTGAGGAGTTAGAAAATACCCCATGCAAAATCCATCAGAGTATGGATCTAATGGTGGAATTTTTTTATTTGAGCCATGAGATTTGTTGAGTTGAAGCTCAGCATTAAAAAAAAAAAAAGACAATGACTTTTTTTTAACAAAATAAATTAGAATTGAAAAAAATCAGGGGTGGAGAGATGGCTCAGGGGTTAAGGACATTTTCTGAGCAATCATTAGGACCTGAGTTTGAATCCCAGCACCTACATCACTAGCCAAGCATGGGCTCACAAGCTCCCATAACCGTCACCATAGCCCTGTGTGGGCTTGCTGAAAAACAGCAACAACAGGAGCTCTGTCTGGGCTGAGGAATAGGCTCCACCTCAGAGGGATAAGGTGGCAGAGGACACTGGCGCCCCCCTCTGACGTCCGTGTGCACTCACAGGCCTGCCTCCCTATACATCTGCACATATATAAGTGCAGCTACCCCCTGCACACACACTAGAAAAGCAGTTTCTAAACAACAGCAGCAAAATCAGCACTGAGGTCAGATTTGGTGGTGCACTGGGGAGGCGGGGACACAGGCAGCTGCATCTCTGGGTTTCAACTCAGCTTGGTTTATACACTGAGTTCCGGGCCAGCAAGCGCTAAGTAGCGAAACTTAAAAGAGGTATATTTTGTGATAATTTTGCTTCATAGAAAGGTATGTATCTTTGTATATACTGAGCCTGAGGCATAAAATGCCTGTCTTACTGTGGGTGACAGCAGGTGACGGATGAAAACACTGACCTCAAATCCTCTCAATTCCCTTTGTTATCTTGCAGCTTTTGTGACCTTATTGAACGGGGAGCAGGCGCAGAGCGCGATTCGGAGGTTCCATCAGTTTTCCTTTCGAGGCCGAGAGCTGGTAGTGCAGCTGCAGCCCACAGACGCCCTCCTGTGCATCACCAACCTGCCCGTCTCTTTCACGCTGGAAGAGTTTGAAGAACTCGTCCGCGCGTACGGGAACATCGAGAGGTGTTTTTTGGTCTACAGCGAAGTTACCGGCCACTCCAAGGGCTACGGGTTTGTGGAGTACATGAAAAAGGACTTCGCTGCCAAGGCCAGACTGGAGCTGCTGGGCCGGCAGATGGGGGCCTCGGCACTCTTCGCACAGTGGATGGATGTCAACCTCTTGGCCTCCGAGCTCATCCATTCTAAGTGCCTTTGTATAGATAAACTGCCCAGTGACTACAGGGATTCCGAAGAGCTCTTGCAACTTTTCTCTGGCATCCATAGGCCTGTGTTTTGCCAGGTATGTGTTGCTAAAGACTTCATCTGAGGGATTTAAAAATAGCTGCATGCATTGCTCATCGGTGTCTGTATGTACACCTGTTTATCTGTTGTATCCACGCAATATCACAGGGGCGATTTTGATTTCTTCTCTAGTCTGTAATGAGGACTCTAAAAACATGTTAAGTCATTCCTGTAGTGTGTACACTATGGTACGGTTCACAAGCTGGGCAAGGGGCTGGAGATTGAGACACATACATTCACAGACAGACAGGGACACAGGGACATGGGTCATCCTTGAAACAAAAATGCCAATTTTATTGTGCTCCAGGGAAGCTTATATAGGGATCCTTAACTGATAGCCACGCCCCAGCTCTTGGGATTTTTCAGCTGTAAACCCACCAGAAACCATTCCTCTGCCATCAAGAACTCATAAGGGTCTCGTGCTCAGAGCAGCTGCAGGCACAGGAAAACAAGCCGTTCACTCCGGCAGGCAAAGGGTTAAGTCAGGGGTCAAAGGGTCTAAGGGTCTGCAGCCCCCCCAACACATTCCCTTTTGCTGATGGGCCAAGCTCTGTTGCTTTGGTTCATTGTGTCGTAGCAAATCCATTGCTTACTCATTCGCCTCTCTTTCCACCCAGTTGTCCAGCCATTTCCATTAAGCCATTTGCCTCTCCGACTCAGGTTGACTGTTTTCTCTGGGCCAGTGCTAGGCTGTGTCAGAAATGAAGAGAGTAGAACTCTGTCTCCGTGCTGCACGGTTTTGTAGCTGACTGACAGGAGAACTGGTACTTACACATCCTCCATGAAGAATGACCTAAGGGAGGCTGGAAAACTTGGAGAAAGTGTAAGGCAGGCCCTTCTTTCTGTCTGAATATGGGGTTGTGGTAGGTGAGGCATGAGGAGAAGATCCTGGCTGTGCTGGGGAGCGGTTCCGAGCACCTTATTGTAGTAAACACATCCTCATAACTGCCTGGAGATCAGCACTATGTGACGCCTGCCCAGCAACTTTCTGATGGCAGCCGGCCAGTTCTTCTTCTGTTCCCTGCGTTTCCCCCTTTCTGCCCCCTCCCTTCACTTCCATGTTTCCTGTCCCAACTCTCTTTCTTCCTCCCCCTTTTTTTTCCTCACCCAGCATTTGCCAAATTCCTATAGTGCAATGAAAATTTTAAGAGTTGGCTGTGCACATGTGTGTGTGTTTAAATGAACAGATAACGCTGTATGCATTTGTCATGTCTAGCGTGACGCTCTAAAGTATGCACACATGGTGGGGAGCCTAAAGCCAGCCGACTGACCATGCATCCCCCACAGTTACCATCTTCTGTGATGAGAGAGCTCAGCACCCACTCTCAGAGTTTTCCAGGAATGCGGTGTATTGTTAATGGTGATGCAGCATATTTGATAATAGATTGCCTGCACTGACGCGTTACTATCTAACTCAAATTTCATGCCTTGTACCCACAACTTCTCTACTGGTGATCCATTCTCCACTGGTGACTGCCAGTCTGTTTCCTCCTCTCTACGAGATTGGCCCTTTTAGCTTCTGCACGTGAGTAGATTATGCAGCAGTATGCACAGTTGAGACAAATGGCCCCATCTTGCTTTTTCTTACATTGTTGTTCCCCTGTCCCAGCAAAGCATTAAAGAAACCATCTAAGACTTGTAGAAAATGAGAGTATTTTGTGACAAACCTTTGACCCAGTCTTTGCTCAATTCTTGGAGAGGATTGCCTCGTGATATGCTGATATTGTTGAATACCTAGAGTCATATAGTGCTGTCGTCCTGAGTGTTGTCCAGCCTGCTTGTGTCCTTAGTTCTCTGTGGAGGTAGACCTTTGGAGCAAATGTGGGGGACAGAGCCATCTGTCACACTGATAGATGTGATACATGATCTGAACTGTGAATGCAGGAGTTGGCAGGAACCTTACAGATCACCATGTTTATCTGTATGGTGTAGAATCTGTTTGCTAGTGTTTTGTTGAGTGACCCTTAGCTTCTGCTAAAATGCTTCAGAATAACGAAAGAGTCTTTAAATAGTTCTGGCCTTGAACTGCCTGGCCCACTCTCACACTGCTGATGCGGTTTTAAAGAGACTTATTTTGGAAGTCTTCAGGTGCTATATCTTAGATAAGAATGAATGCCAGGCAGCAGTGGTTCACGCCTTTAATCCCAACACTTGGGAGGTAGAGTCAGGCGGATCTCTGTGAGTTCGAGGAGAGCTTGGTCTACAGAGCAAGTTCTAGGACAGCCAAGGCTGTTACACAGAGAAACCCTTTCTCAGAAAACAAAACAAAAACAAAACCAAGTCATCCCACTGAAACAAGTAGGCTTAAAGCCTCAGAGATCCACTCAGGCAACATTTGCATCGCTTCTTCTCCATGGATGCTGAGGTCAGGCTCCTCCTGTCCGCGGCAGTCAGCAGAGAATGGCGGGAGATGGACTCTTGCAGTCCGGAGACCAAAGGGCCTGCTGGCTTTTACAGCTCTGATCTCAAGATCTGGTTTGAATTAGAGGAGGACTTGAGCTCTCGGAGGAATATTTGGAAGAGGTGGGTGTTTTTCCTTTGCCTTCCACATTTGGGAAAAGCTTCGTGAAGCAAAACAAATTTTAGAATAGTTTAGAGGAGTAAAGATCTTGAAGAGGGAAAAATGGAAAATTGGCCTGAGTATAAGAAGAAAGCGAAAGTTAAGTTTTAAAATAAGAAAAAAAATACTATGAAGTATTATTTGTAATATTAGCATGTGATATAAAAAAACATCATAGGGTTGTGTGTTTGTGGCTTCTCAAAGACACGAGCTTGATTTTGTCACGTCTGTCACGTTGGCGTGTAAGCGTATTTGTTAAGATCATTCATATGTGCCCGAGTCCTGGAACTGTAGTGACACATCCTTCTTCCCTGCATTCTCCACGGAAGTATATAGAGCCAGGCCTTTACTGTCGCCCTGCACACGCCCACAAGTGGGCAGTAGCTGGTGAGCCCACTCTCGGAAGTGAAGGCTGTGTTGTGGAAGATGGGTGATAGGCATACATTTCCTAAATAAGATTTTTTTGTATCCTTTATCAGAATCCTGGAATTCGCTTAGTATGTTGAAATAAAAGTTGACTGTGGCTCCTCCCACCCATCTTCTTTTGATAACACCGGTTTTCATTGATATGTAGTCAAATAACCAGTGTCTCATTAGCCATGAATCTGATGACTTGTTTTAAAGAAAGTTTTAATGTAATTATTTAATTGTATTTCCTATTAATTAATTACTAATTGTGTGTGTCGTTATTTCCTAATAAGTAGGAGACTGGTGACTATTAAATTAGAAAATGAAAACATTGGGTTGACATTCCTGTCTTCAGGGAACAACTGTGTCTAAGTAAGTTGGGGAAGAAATTTAGTATTGTCACCAGTACAGCCTGAGGAACTAGATGTTGACTTTGGAAACGATTACTGCCAACGAATGTTCATAAATCAATTTTAGAATCTCTTTTCAATGTGCTGTGTGGTGTCAGCTTGCACAGGATGAAGGCGGTCATGGTGGTAGCTTCGCGGTGGTTGAATATAGCACAGCGGAGCATGCCGAAGAGGTTCAGCAGGTGGCAGATGGCATTACCGTCAAGGGGAGCCAAGTCCAGCTATCCTTCTGTGCCCCGGGAGCGCCGGGACGAAGCACTCTGGCAGCCCTCATAGCGGCTCAGCGCGTGGTGAGTGGCGAGTGGCGTGCTGCCTCGACAGGCGGCCGCTATCTTAACCTCCCAAGTCTGTCTGCGGTTAGTGCTCGGTCCCTGGGCTCTCATTGTTGCCCTTATTTTGGAGATAGTGCGTGTTTTTAAAGTAAGAAGTGTGTTTTTTGAAAAAGCTGGCCAAGTGGTGTCTGTAAAACTAAGCTGGAAGTTAAGAGAGAAAAAGAAATATAGAGTTCATGGAAATGTATTCATCTTGAATAATTTGTGTGTGTGTGTGCAGGTGTGCACAGTCTGTGTGGGTGTGTAAGTCCAAGGCTGATGTCAGGTTTTTCTCTTGATGGCTCTCCCCTTTATTGCGGCAAAGGCTCTCGCTGAATTCAGAATATTCCCGTTGCACCCATTCCAGCCAGCCTGGCTAGCCACCTTGTCCTGGGGCTCCCTGTCTGGTTCCCAAGTGCTGGGATGACATCTGCCCAGCTTTTATATGTGTTCTAGGGACCCAGACTTTAGTCTTTACAGTGCAGGTGCCTTATCTCCCAAGCCTTCCCTCCAGCCTCTATCTGGACTAGTTTTTAAAGGAATTTCATTTATCCAGCAAGTGGTTGAGTTACTCTCTGCTGTAAGTTTTGAGTGCCAAACTTATTTTTTCCAGAAGTTGTCATAAGTGCCACCATGATGTGTGGCGCCCACGGTGTGTGGTGCCCCACAATGTAGTGCCCACAGTGTAGTACCCTCAGTCTGAGCTGCAAAAGATGTCTGTCTCTTTATTGCTTCGTGGCACCAAACACTCACCCCTTTCCTGAGAGTCCCTTAGATGTGTCCTGTGCCTTCAGAGTTTTCATCTCAGCCCAGCATGGATTTTGATGGTTTAGTAAAGGAAGGGATACTCCTTTGAAAAGAGTCGGGACAAACTTCATGATGAAGATGACATTTGAGTGTGACATTAAGGAATGGGTGAGGTAATGGCATGTGTTGATGGGGGTGGAGGATAGGATTGCCAAATAAATACAGATTTTGCATGAGACATACTCCTATTAAAAATTATTCATATTCTGAACTCCAAGTTTCGCTGAACATCCTGTGTTCTTCATTAAATCTGGTGACCCTAAGGAGGCGGGCTGAGCAATAGTCTGAGCTGGATTAGCTGTTCGGAGAGGGGTAAATGTTCAGGTTGAGCCGCCGATGTAGAGAGGCGCATTGATGCTGAAGAGTATGGCATAGACAAAGGACTCAGATTGAATTCAGCACCGGAGAACTCGTAGATAAGTAAATGAGGAAGTGACAGGTGTCAGTCAGGCCATGGGAAAGTCAGCTCTGGGTAGATTAGAGATCAGCAGAGAGAGAAAAGCAGAGGAGGAGGTGGAGCTGGGTGGGAAGGCGTCTGTTGTTCCTCTCACCCCCACACCCCTACTGCACCTCCTGTTAGTGAGTTCACTCCTGGCCCTGGATCTGTTCTGTCTCCAGGGTGAGTTAGCATCCTTGGGTTTTCACTCCCAAAAGCCACTGCTTTAGCCTTTTGTTCACTATCAGTTGCCTTTCCTCTGCTTAACTTGCGTCTCTGCTCAATTGGAATTGCCAAGCTTACAATTCTGAACCGGTCTAGCAGCCACTGATTTTTGAAGCCAGGACACTGTCATCGTGGATATGAAATGGGCAGCTGGGTGGCTTGGTGCCCCTGCAAATGAGAGGCTTTGCTGATCCCCACAAGTCTTCAGTTTGTCCTTTATCTGTTGTTTCCTGCTTCCTCCTGCAGGTATCTAAAGGTGGCACATGCCTTTAATTCCTGCACTTGGGAGGCAGACGCAGATGAAATGATCTCTGTGAGTTCGAGGCCAGCCTGGTCTACAGAGTGAGTTTTAGGTCAGCCAGGGCTACACAGAGAAACTCTTTCTCAAAAAGCAGAGTAACAACAGCAACAATAAAAAAAACAAAACAAACAAAATGGGAAAAACCAACCTGTACTTGTGCCTTGTGCTTGCTTTTGTCATTCTTTCTGCCAGATGACCATGGTTCTGGGGAGGACCAGGTGTTAGATTCAGTCATCCATCCTCCCCATCATGGCTTGCCTCCTTCTCATGGTAACATGTGCCCAGGATGTACATGGTCGCGATGTAAAGTCTACCCCTTCCCTGTTCGTAGGAATGGCCATACCTCTTGCTGACAATGTCCCCAGCTGGGTGCTCTTGATCCTCTTTTCTACCTGACTTTACTTGTTCCACAAATGTCTGTCCTTTTCTTAGGCAAAGCCTTAGACAGCTGCCATTACAGCTACTGTTTCTAACAGGGCCATTGTCTCCAGTTCCTAATCTTCCATCTCCTCTCAGCCTAATGCAGGAGAGTGTCCATCTCCTTCTTTAAGCTGCTCTCATGAAGGATTTCTCTGTGTGTATACGGGTTCATGTGTGTCCATGTGTGAGCACGCATGTGGAGGTCAAAGGTTGACAGCAGGTATCTTCCTCAATCACTCTCCACCTTGTCTTTTGAGCAGGATCTCACTGGACCTGGGCGTTGCCCATTGAGCTAGACTGCTTGGCTAGCAAGCCCCATGGTGTCCTGTCTTCCTCCTTCCCAGGACTGGGATTACAGATGTATGCCATTGTGCCTGCCTTTTCTTGGTCCTCATACATGACAGACACTTGACCACCGAAACCATTTTGCCAGCCCCAACAGGGGCTTCTTAATATCCATATCTGCTACGTACTCTCTAATGTTTGAGATCCCTGCAACATTTAAAACTTTTCTTCTGCCGTGAACCCTGGCACAACATTCTTTTGTCCCGTCTGTTTGTGCCCAACTTGATTCTGCCCCTGAAGGTGGGGATCAGAGGGTTATGTATTCAGTTTTCCTCGCTTTCTTCTCTCATAGACTCCAGTTACTACTTTATTAATGGTAAATCTTATGCGTATGGTGGGTCAGTAAATCTGTATTTCGGGTGATTGACAAGAATTGAGATGGTGACTTCCCACCACATTAAATCAATCGCTCAGTTTCAGCGTTTCTGAGGAAGATTGCCTTTCTCTTAGGTTCACTCCTCAGTGTTCTGTAATAACTGGATATGGAATAAAGCAATCCGTGTACCCAGTTGTTCGCCACTGGCCTCCATCAGCAAGTCCCCAAATACAGCTGTGCTTTCTCACCTGTGCGATCACAGTGATGTCCTCCATGATCCCCAGGCCATTTGTCATGTCTTTCTAATCCATGGGGCACAAGAGCCCTTTCCCCTTAACCCAGATTGTCTCGCTTTCCTTTTTGTCCTAATGGTGCACACTGGACATGTATCTCAGTGTGACATGTGGGACCCCATGGGCGGGCAAGAGGAATAGTGAGAAAGCTTTTTTTTTTTCTTCAAATCTTAAAAGTCACTTTTTATGGATAATGGTTTGTCTTTTACCAAGTTTCTGAGATTTGAATAAAAAAACAAGCAGGCACTAAAAACTTTTAAAGTATTTCTGTGACAATTGAAATAAACATGTGACTTATACAAGTTGACTGATACATTTTGCTTTCATGATAAATACCACAATCAAAAGCAGACTTGGGGAGGGAAGGGTTTCTTTGGCTTACTGCTTACATCCATCACCAAGGGACATCAGGGTGGGAACACGGCAGGAACCTGGAGGCAGGAACCTGGAGGCAGGAACCTGGAGGCAGGAACCTGGAGGCAGGAACCTGGAGGCAGAAACCTGGAGGCAGGAACAAGCAGGAACCTTGCGTATTGCTGCTTTCTGGCTTGCCCTGCATGGCTTGCTCAGCCTGCTTTCTTAGACACACAGGCCCACCTGCCCAGCCTCCCACATAAATTGCTAATCAAGAAAATGCCCTCCAGCCTTGCCCACGGGCTAGAAGATGGAGGTGTCTTCTTAATTGAGGTTCCTCTTCTCAGAAGGCTCCAGATTGTGTCAAGCTGACAGAAAACCAACACAGATGGGAATCACATTGCTAATTTGTTTGGTGGAAGCCATTCTTTTAGTCAAAATTTTCAGTGTTAGAAAGTTAATTGGTTTCATTATGACATTTTCTTATGTGTGTCATTGTATTTTGCTCACCTTCCACATCTGTTGATGTCCCTCATCATGGGTCCCCTACACGGTCCCCCCCTCTCTTTCTTTCTCTCTCTCTCTCTCTCTCTCTCTCTCTCTCTCTTTCTTTCATGTGTGTTTAAATCTGGATTCTCCATATGAAAGAAAACATGCAGTGTTTTTTCTTTGTTGCCTTTCTCCTTCCATGGTCCCCTTCTATGCACATCTCAGAGTTCTCTAGCCCTAGTTGATCACAGCTTTTTCCAGAGGCATTATTTAATTTGATTTAATAATATTTTTCTTTGACACACTTTTGGAGATGTCCCCAGAAGTGGCAGGCACCCAAATTTTTAAAAACATGATCAGTAATTTTGGAATTAAGATACCGACCTCACTGTCATTGGATGGTTTCAGCGTCTTCTCACTCCCTCTCTGCATCCCGACCAGCTTGTATAATGCTAGGCTGAGTGCTCTATGAGGAGCTGAGTATCTGTGAAGCCTGGTGGGCCGCTCCTCGGGCCTCTTCCAGAGGGCGTCATTGATTACCTCTGAGCTCCAGCTATGGATATTCTTCCTCCTCCTTTCTCTGCTACCTTTGACTGTGTTACCCAAGGTGGTCCTTTCCATCCATGTTTTCAACATTTGATGTGTACAGACATAGACGCTCTTAGCATTTTAAGATGTCGGACACTTGCCTCCTTTTCCTTCTGTGTAATTTGCATTTTCTGTTTTGTCTTCATCAGTCTTAGGAAAGAGTGTCCTAGTTTGTCCTTTAAAGTACTAACTTTTGATTTTTTTTCACTGTTTCTAAATCTTCCTTATTTGCTTATTTCTGCCTTCATCTTAATAATTTGCTTATTTCTGCTTAGCATTTACTTAGCCCCCTCTTTGTTGATAGTGGTGAGATTAATATTTCCCCATCTTTATTGATCACTTATAAGTCACTGCTTAACTCTCCTGGATTTTGTTTTTGTTTTCTTGTTTTATTTTGTGCTGGGA